CCTGAAGGGAACAAGATGGGGGTCCGACTGGAGCACTGATTGTTTTGTTACCTGATAAACTTAAAAAGATAAGTCAACTCACATAAGGCACCTAACTTGCAACACAAACATGCCCAGCAGCCCTTCTCCCACTCAGGGGAGCACTTGGGAACAAGCAGTAAGTGAACAGAGAAAAAAAGTCGGCATCAAATGCAAAAATCCCAAACCTCATTTTAGTCAATTAAAAATAAAAAAAAATAAAAAAAAAAATCAATCTTTATATTGGCAGCAGTATACTCAGCAAAATGTATGTTCCCAACTCCCACCCAGACAGCGGTCACGCCGACAGACCATTCAAGCTCCTGAAGGCAAAAGCCTCCCCGCTGCTTGCGGCAGGCTGGCTCCTGAGCCACCCCAGCTCCCTGCTTCGTGCTTGGGTTTGGTTGGTTGGTTGTTTTTTTTAACTGCCCTCCAGCTCTAGCTGGTGGCAAATCACAGTTCATGAAGATGCATGCCAGGAGACTGCAACTACTTGCCTAAAGAGGTGAAATAAAGCGTGGGCATTTGCCAAAGTACTCCCACCCCTTGGAGCAGTTCATTTTTCAGGACGTTCAGTGCCAGACTGGCAGGCTGACCAGGAACGAGAAGGAATAGGAGAGTAAAACCTTGCCTGCAAACGTTTCTGAAATGTTTATCACAGTAGCACTGAGATATTCACAGCCCTTTCATTTCTCTCGGAAAGGAAGTGGAGAAAGGCGACGTCTTTCCTTAAAAACCTAACTGAACAGAGTGGGAAGTCTGAACAAACCTGGAAAATAACAAGCTGCTTCTTCAGCCACCACCAACTTAAGCAGGAATTGAAGATGCTTAGTGAAAACCGGGTAAAGCCCCTGACAACAAATACTATACAAAAAATTGTCAAAGTATTTAAAAAAATTCCACTGTCAACAAAACTGAAAATTATGAACATAAAAGTCATGATTGCAAATACTGAGGGGCTGTAGGAGGTGAAGTATGCAGTCTAGTGCTGAAGTCTGAAGAGCCAAAACCCAAGAAAGTTCATCAACAGCATACTAAAGGAATCTTAGAAAGCTTTATTAAATAATAGAGATACAAATGTTCATTATTTACATCCAAATTGTCAATTTTAAGTAGTACTAGCATGTAAGGCACAACTTCTCCAAAACTAGCCAATAAGTTACGTAAGACTCAATATAGTAACATGTAGCAATGTCCCTTTTTTGTAATACTGCATGAAACCAAAACTGTATGCCACAAACTGTCTGCATTCCATTCCTCTAATTGCCTGCATAGTTCTGCAGATAATATATTTTGCATGAAATATTCTGTTCTTTGAAATAGAACAATTGTGATACAACAATTTCATTATGGTCCTTAGGAGAGTTCAGACAGCCAGAGTATCATTCACAATGAAAACGGGGATATTTGTTTTATGTAAACAAAGCCCTTATCTGATACCTGCAAAACACTGTTTATGGATTAAAAGTTACAGTGAGTATGATTATAATCCTCAAAATAAAGGACTCCAAGCGAGATGGTTTTTTTTTCCCCTATTCTCAGGGAAGTACTTTAACGAAGAATTGGAATCAAGTTTTTCTTCTCATCTGTTTAAAATGAATTTGGAAAAAAGTTCATGTCAGCATACCTCACTGCCATCTTGTTTAGAAAGCAAAATACGTCTGAGCACGCAGCGATCACCCGCCTGGTTTAGCAGAGTACTTTCTGAAGTACCCAGAACTGTGCATTTTGTATCTGTGCCTCTTAGCTAGCTAAGAAGAAAACCAAAAAGTCAACCAAAAACCCCTCACACTTTAATACTTATGCAATTAAATGATACACTGTATTTTACAGACTCACAAATGAGCAGTTATTAGTTGGATATTATGGTACAAATATTCCAAAGTCTGCTCATACCAGTAGTTTAACTGCAGATTCGGGCTGTGGCTGTATCAGACTGTCCAGGGCACCCCGGAGACGGGCGGGCTGTACCAACCGAACAGGTCACTCATTGTAAGCGTGAAATAAACCACTTACTTTCCAGTGCAGGAGGCGACTAGTGGTAATAAAAGGAGGCTCAGGTTCTATTGAGGTACTTCTCTATGTGAAATGACCTATAGAAACGTATTATATTTATATCAGAACACAGGTAAGATAATTGCCTTCAATTAAAAATATTTACTACCAGAAGAAAGGTCCTCTTAGAAGGCAAATGCTTTCACATTCCCAGTCCAAAAAAAGTGCTTATAGTAACAAGAAAGGAATACTGCAGTTGTACCCAAAGGAAGCCGCACTAAGATAGTTATGTTTTTCTTTTTTGTTGTTGTAAAAAACCTCCGAATTATTCACAGTTGTTCCAGCATTCCTAATGTTAAAACAGCAAATTATGGTGATGAATCACATTGTAAGGCTAAATGTAAGAACAGTTATCAGTGCAGTACATTCCTGAGTCTTTGGAACTCGAAATAAAAAACTAGTTCTTTGAAATACACAATCCTTCATATTTTTGGCTCATATTTGACCTGTTTTTCTATTTCCCTTTTTAAAAAAGTTCATTAAAAAGAAAGTTAATTTTCACATAAAGTAAATAAAAAACTTCTATCTTTATCACTTCGACATGACTTCTAGTTGCTTGAAGAGTGCAAGAAAGCTAGCTTAGCATAAATGCTGCTTTTTGTCCAGTTATTGTGAGCCTTAAACAGCAGATAAAAAGAGTTTTAGAGAACTGAAGCACTGACTTAAAAAAAATTCAAAGAGCTCTAAATATAAAAAAAAATAATTATGAAGCTAGTTACATTCAAGAGATGACTTGAATTATATTGAAACTGTGAAAGTTCTTAAATTTGCTATTGTTAAAGGCACCGGCTTTGGTTTGTGTGGGGGTTTTCTTGGTTTTTTGTTTTTTTGTTTTTTTTTTTTTTTAATCATTTTTCTTTTCTTTTTCTTTTTCCGAGCCCTAGTGCATGAAGGCGAGTCCTGCTGTCTCTAACGTGAACCATAATCAGTGCTCCAGAGCGTGGATGATGGGCTTGTTTTTCTGCTTGAGGACTGAGGACTGAAGGAAGGCGCAGGTGATACAGAGAAACCTAAAACACAGGGGAAAAGGAGAAAAAAAACCCCAATCATACTCAGGAATGGTGGAAGAAGTAAGAAATAAATAACTGCTGTTGATCATCTGCCGGAACACCTGGCAAGCGAGTCTAATCATCCATTCAAAGTTGAAATAACCCCTTGAGCTTACTGCCTGTTGAAAAGACATAAGTATCAAAATTTTGTAGGTCTTCCTATTAAGGACTTTAATTAAGGAATTGATAAAGTCTTCTGAGGGGGGCACAACACATTTCACCTCAGCAAATAACTTTCAGTTTGAATATGCCTTTATTTTGTCTGAAGTGTCAGGCATGTGTTTTTACAAACAGGACTGCAGCTCACCATAATGTAACTGGATCTGTAATAATGTGCATTTCATTTTAATAGCCACTGCTGATTACAGACCTTCCAAGTGAATGGGTATTTTTTTTTGCATATTTCTGAAAGAGTTTGATTCTACAACACTGCAAATCAGTAAAATAGGGAATAAATATGATGTCAAAAGAATACAGATAAGACATGAGTGCAAGATCAGAACCACTAAAGGAACCACCTGGTCCCTGAGCAACACAACTAAGACTTCTACAGACTTGGATCGTTTGTCCCCAAACATATGCCCTTCCCCATCTCTTACAGCAGCCCCAGCTCGCGGCACCTCCCAGAACAAGAGCTGCACCTCATCTGCTGTCGCATGAACCGACTAAGCAGCCAGCTGCTGCCAGGCACATCCTACCAGCGCCTGAGCTCTGCTTTACCTTCCCTCGGCAGGGGCAAAACCGTGGATCTCCCTCCTCTACCCACCTGGTGATTTGCACGAATTCGTACATTTTTAACCCACTCCCTATTTCCAACGTGGCTGAAGCTGGCCAGGAGTTTCCACAGAATGAGCAATGGGCAAAGGGGAGGCTGGGGCGTGGGGCAGGAGGATGGGCAACATGTTTCCTAGGAACTGACACGGTCCTTGTTGTTCTATAATTCAGTATACAGGCTTTCTCAGAGTCGTACCTGCCGACAGTCAACTCAGGCGGAATATCTGGACTTATCAATTAATTTGTTTATAACTGGGTAACAGCTGCTTACTGTTATGGCTGTGTTGAGGAGTTGTCCTTGGAGTAAATGCCGGATGACTGTGCCGTTCTTTCGGTGAGAAAACTGCATGAAGGCCTGCAAGACATTGTAAAAAGACCCAAAAACAACAATAAAAAAACCCAACAACAAAACCCCAAAATCATTTCACATGGAAACGATTCCTTTATATCTTACAGCTAATGCATTGTAAGAAGTTATGGAAAAAAATAGTTCTGCAATCTTTCATTCTCTTACCTATAATCATAACAGCTGCCCCTGCTAATAGTGCAAAAAGCGTGAAGAACATTACTTGATAAGAATCAAGAAAGTGCTGGAATAGACTGGCTCCATCTGTAGAATCAATTAAGAGGAGACAATATTGAGTTAAAAGACCATCTTCTCTAATCTGCTTTAAGAGTTAACAGTTCTTAACTCAAACTGAAAATAGCCAAAAGAAGGTTTTTATTTATAGCAAATAAGTGTAATCAACCTAGATAATATGACTTTGATTCTAGTGACTATTTCCAATGCAGTCTTCAAAATTGGCCAATAACAGTGTCCTTTACTCTCTCAGCTCCAAAATGCTAATCTGTTTTCAAAATAACAAGGCATGCTTGAGAGTAAACAAAAGCAGAACAAAAAAAAAAAATTACTTTCAGACACTATCACTGGCATATTTATGCCCACTTCAACAGAGGATTTTGGGCTGACCCAGAAGGAAAATATGTTCAGGTCCCATCACAATGGGCAATTGTATTCAAGTCTTCTGGTCGCAGCGAGCAGCTTACGTGTCAATAACATGAGCTGCCAGCTCAGCTTTGAACACACCAAATTTTATAACCTCATGAACATTAATGGAAGTTATTGGTTTATTCTGGCATATGAAATCTAGAGATAAACTTACGTCTCACTGGTGCACTGGTTCTGTCAGTCAAGTAAATCACTGTCACTGGGATAGTGATAGACTGGTCAGTCATAGGACTAGAGACAGTCAGAGTGGTTGATAAGGATCCCTGGCTTGAAACTCTTGGATCAGACAGACTAACGGTGTAGACTACATAACTCGGCAGCCCGTAGGATTTCTCTTTCTTAAAAGCCTTCACTGTTGGTGACCCACATTTCACCTGCCGAGGGAAAAAACCAACCGTGTGAGCCTGTTTGAGAAAGCACAGCATATATATCCACCTTCCAGGCCACGCTTCAGAAGAGTCATTCCACAGAAACACAGAGCAACTCACCCCTCAGCAGGAGTCGGACTTGGTTGTGACGGTACAGTGAGACCTGCAGCCCTCCAGCTCAGTGGCCTGTTGAGGTTGCCCGATTACCTGCTGTTGCTGTGGGTCCGGGCTAACCCCGTACAGGCCAAAAGCGAAGTACCCCTTAGTGCGCTATGTGAACCGTGGGCAAGCAGACAAGCAAGTGGGCAAGAAGCTACCCCTCCTGCTAGAGATCAGGCAGATTTTCTGCTTCCCGCCTGCGAGCTGCTTAACACATCCCAGCTAGCACACAGGTGAGCCTGACACGTCTACTACCCCAAAACAAAAGTGAAAACTGAGGAGGAATGCATTCCAAGATGAGTATTTCCAAATCCTCTCAGGAACAATCTTGACACAGTAAAGGTGGTGCAGAGTGCCTTTGGTTAGAAAGTTGCATGTAACAGTTCAAAACACTTTCAACTGTGTTGGGATAGTTGCCAGCAACAGACTCACCTCCAGGGTATCAAGAATTTCCGTGGCACCAAATATTTTCACATCGGAGCTTGTGTAATAGTTACTTAAAAGCATTTCTGTTTGGTCGGCATAAAACCCGGGATTGAAAGGCACCTCCGTGCTGATCCGCTCCCCAGAGAAGTGGCTGCCTTGGATTGACGCTGTAACTCTGAGCGCAGTCTTACTCATGCTGAGATGCTTCAGCTGCTTGTCAGTGAGCCTGTGCATCGTGATGGAGCAGGTGTAATGTCCTGTAACAACAAAAGCACTTTGACTGTTAATTGCTCATCTTTACTGTTTTTTTTCCCTCCATGCAGAGTGAGATTTCTTTAGAGAAGGAGACCTTTAGAGAAGAGATAAAAAAGGTGGTAAAATTCAACAGACAGCAAGATCAGGAGCGCGTAGGTGAAAGGGACAGAGTGTCCTCTGGGCCAAGCATCACAAACCCAGTACCAAACCAACAGACCACAGATCTTGTCCCAAACTAAACATCATGATAAAAACCCCATAAAACGGTCCAGTCACATTTTATTATAGCATGCCACTGAGACTCAATTCCACTTTGAATATAACATTTATGGTCACATTGATAGAAAGGATTTACTGAAAACAAAATTTACCATCCTATTTCATATTCTCTACACCTAATGTTAACATTTTAGTCAGTTACCCTCCACCATTCTGTGGAGACACGGTTTATTATTTATAAAAGCGTCTTTAAAGGTTAGATATTCACCAAGCTTCTAGTCTCTTATAGGACCTATTTGTCTATTATTAGCAATAAAGATAGTACAAAATTGCCCCAGTATGGAAGAGACAAAGCATAAGTAACAAGCAGAACTTGCCAGGTACTTGTTTTCCCTTTATTTTCTTTCTCTAACGATGTAACAGTGGCAGCCACTATCATGCAAGGTATAATAGTGTTTTACACAATGGGTACAGGGACTAATCTAACAGATAATTCATGTTATTTCTGTACAGTCCATGGTGGTTTTGTTCTTTTTAAAATCATGTTATAGTTATGAAACACTAACACATGTTGTAGACTTTCACAATTTGATTTCCATTTCCACAGTATCTAGTAATTTCCCCTTGTTTTAAGTCCCAGTTCCTATTGTTTTGGGGATACATAAGAATTCTACATTTCATAAAAAATTATAGCACTCAGGTTGCGGAAGAAAGTTTGAAGCATGATAAATTCCAGAAATGTTTAAATTGCAGAATACAAAGAATTCAAAATGTATCACTTTCACCAGATCTTCACATTTAAGCTATTTCTCTCATTTTAATCATTGAGGTTAGTTATACTGCAATAACTGCAGTGGCAGGGCTTTTAAAAGGCCAGCATCAAACACCAAGAATATTTGACTCTGTAGAGCATAAATTGGTGAAATCTAAACATCCTTGGAAGACAGACATTAAAACTCATGATTGCTTCTCTTACCCCTAGTCTTAAATGCAGTGGAAGTTAAGTATATGGGAAAGGCACTGACGTACGGCAAGAAAACACCTAAAATAGTCACCGGATGTTTACAGCTGCAGAGATACCCAATTTTGGAATATTTCTCACCTGAGTGCTCATTTGTAGCAGCTGAAGCAGGAAGTGTTCTGCTTTCATAGTTTAACAAATACAAGGTCTGATACTCTTTTCTAAATTAAGTTATACACAAGGCAAGCTATTTTTTGTACAGTTCGGCTGGAGTAAGGGATGGCAGATGGCAGCTGTTACCTCTATAAAGCGTGTGACCCCACTGTATTATGTCCTGCAATACCGTCACTTCTGTCTCAAGGTATCATTGAACTGGCTACATGCCTACAAATATATGAGTAGTAATTTGCAAAATTAGGACCTAAATTTGCAGTCAAAAAAGCACGTCAAAGTGTGGTTTTCCCCTTCCAGGAAAAATAACTCAGAAGAGTTTCTTCCCGACATACTACTACAACTCTGAAAAACGTGTGAAATGGGCTGCCACTGATTCCTCTGAAAACAAATAAACGTCTTTGTCACATGCAGAAAACCCCAGAGGTAAACAAGGAGAGTACACTGAAGCCTGAGATCCAACACAGCAAAGCTCAGGGGCTTCAGAGGGAAATCTGCTGGGTCAAAGGGCACTGGGACTAAACCAAAGCAGAATGCCAAGTCTGTTCCTGGAGTGTGGCATCTGTCTCGTCTTACCTGAAACTGCATCAAATCCGGGCTCTGCTATAAAAATATCGTGCGCTGGGAAGTCAAATGCATCATTGTTAAAATCCAGATGACAACTGATAATGGACTGGGGTTGTAATTCAGCAATGGCTTCAATCTGAGCAGGCAAGCACTCCCCTAAGAGGAAGAAAAAAATATTAATTACTCTCTAATTGATTAGAAAAGAAAAGTCTAACTAATTATTTTTTTAATTAATTAAAAGCAAAACCACAGCTTGAAATATCAAGTTATTCTGCCACCTTCTGAAATAGTTTCACAAGGTTATGATGATCTTAAAATAGCTGGGAATCACAGACAGCTGTCCTATCGAGGGTCTAATCCCAAGGAGACGGGAAATGAAAATTTTATATGTTGTGGGTTTTTTTGACAGGAATAATTTATTTACAGGAAAGAGAGAATTTTCAGCTCAGATGTGTCTGTTGAATAACTTATATGATCCTGGGAGTATTGATTTATATTTTAGTATCTGGCAAGATGGTTTTGGGTAGGCTAATAATTTACATAAGGCACAATAAAATACTATTTGAACAAGTGTTAAGTGTTAAGCTGAAAACTAAAAGGAACCATAATATAAAAAAAATACAGCTTATTAGAGTACACAATATGATACTTAATTTTTGTATTGATTCTAATTGTTGCTAATTTCTGTAAAAGATTTGAGGATGGCAACTACTTTAAACATGGTCAGTAAATAAAATTACTAACTTCAAGAAGGCAATTGGAATTAAACATATAAGCAAACAACCAGCTGACTGCCTATTAACTGTTTTTTTTAAAATATGATTAAAAATGACACTATTATCTACCAGTTTTATTAGTTTTGAAATCTTAACAGTGCCCCAAGACACCCTCCAAATTCTATAACATGGCCCTAAGATTCTTCTAGAGTTCCTGGGAGTCCCTAAAGGCGCTAGAGGTTCATAGAGATCTTGCCACACCAGCTTCACAGACCCTTAACAATAAACAGAAAAACCAAACCATAAACCAAAACCACCTGTCAGGAATACACAAACATGCAACAGTTAGCATAAAGACTTTTTTTTCATCATACCTTTCAAATTTTTATTTCTTTCCCCAATTGAAACTATCACTTTTGAGGCTGCAACTCCTTGTAAGCTTGTCTTCACTCCACTTACATGCATCGCTGTAGTCCTCTGAGGTATATTAATCAATATCTGAAAAAAGGATGAAGTACGTTGTTACCAAAAACTGTTTTAAAAAGAAAAATTAAGGCAAAACCAGATTGGATTGATTGCACACATCCTTGTATGTATAACAGAAGGAAGACTCCAAGAGGTCGTGTTTCTCTTTATAAGAAATCCTATATTTCACTGATTTTAGAAAGTGCCTTTCAAGGCAATTTAAGCTAGCAAAACCATTTTTTTTCTTTCTACCCAGCCCCCATAGGTTAATAGGCATCAAACTCTATGTCTAAATTTAAAGGAACGTCTGGTGCTTATGTTAGCCGACAGGGGGAATTGTGTCAACAGTGCGACTGCACCGTAAATAAAATAATTTAATTGAGTAGTTCTGATCTGTGACGCATAGTAATATGGTACAACACTTTAGAAAGTTCTTGTCGGCGTCTCATTCTGCAGTGACACTTCATTCATAAAAGCAGCCACACTCAAAAATTGTTTAGCATCTGGAAACAACTTAGCCAAGCAAAGGAGTCAAAATGTACAATATAAGAACAGTATAGGCTGAAAAGAGAAACTATTGCACTAAATTTTCCACCTTAACATAGATGATTACAAAGAACACATGACGTGTTTGGACACATAGCAAATACTTTCCAACCATTTGCATTTCTAGTACTTTTTCCTTTAAAAAGAATGTTTCTAAATATTTAGAACCAAAAAAAAAAAAAGAAATCATAGAATATATTTTTGGTGAGGGTTCACCCGAAGCAAACAAATGTCAGCAATTCTGGTAGGATTTAACAGGGCCTCACCTCTCTGTATGTTTTAAGTAATCCAGGAATCTCATAGTAGACAGTGACAACACCAGAATCCCTCACCACTGCTACACCAGTCTTGGAGTCGACCTGAAGAACACTACTTAACGAGGAGCTCCATACGCCCGGCAGGCCTGAGAAGACACAGCATTTGGACACTGTTCAACGCATTTATGCGAACTGAAGCATTTCATGATCCCCTCGGTGTCTGTATGTCTCCAGCACGGGTACACACACAGCCTGGTTCACAGAAACTGGCTACAAGGGCCTCATGTGGTGGAAGGCCAGCAGCCCAACACCACACCAACTTGCAGTTACTCTGACAAAAGCCCATTAATAGTAAGAATCACATACAGTGAGTGAAGGTAGACAGTTCGACTCTGCAGGACTCCCACAAAACCCAAGCCTTTCAGGCTAACGGAATGGAAATGTCTGAAGTCTGATACTCATGAATACAATACAAGTGACATATTGCATGGTACAATTAAAATCAGAGGAGCTGATCAAACCTATTTTTATCATTAACAAGAACAGTGACATTTGATTCTGAACAAACATCATAAATTATGCATTTAGTTTTCCTGAGAATGAGAAAGAGTCACACTGATGTCAAATTACAGAGCTGCAAAACCACAGCAACTGAAGTGCCGCTTACCTTCTTGGTTTATCAGCGAAGTACTCAAACAGAGGACGTCACCTACCACCACGTCTACGAGTTCAGGAAAAATGGCATGTTGCACAGGAAGCGGGACGTAGTCTGCAATGCCACTGTGTTCGGCATCCCAGACTTTCAGCAAGGTCAAACCCACATTTACAGTCCGGATTACAAATGTGTTGTTTGTGGCTCCTTTCCCAATCTGTACAAAGTCATCTCTACAAATAAAAAGAAATGCTTTTATACTAAGGCGAGTTTTCTAATGTCATTATCTCTACAATAAATAGTAGTTATTGAATTCTTTTTAGATGGCTGACTTCTGGTTTTCAGCGACGGTTATCTTCTAATGAAATCTGACAAAATAAGGAAAATACAAAAATTCTTTAGGTGCTACTGAGGCAAATTTCAGTTCTCACATCGTTACGCTGAGGAAATACTGAGGTCATGATTATGCATGAGAACTACTTCCTAATTTTAAGAATTGTAGGACTTTAGAATGCGGTAATTCGTCTCTTTTCCCTTTTCTCAGGGAGTTAAGCAGCAAAGGAATTTAAACACCAATATGCGGCTTTGCAGCCATAACTTTACAAAGCTAAATCCCATTTGATTGCAAGTTCTGCTATTTACCAAAATTCAGCGTTCACAAATGCACGGGCACCTGGAGCACTTGTAAGTGCCCCCAGCAGAGCGACGGCTGCGCTGGCAGCACCACGCAGAGACAGCAAAGGTCTGGACAGCAGCAGCGCTGGGGCGGCCCCGCACTGCACCTGGGGTTAACCAGCACTGCTTCTCTCTCTCTCGAGGGCTAATCATCAGCCCTGTGCTGAAGCAGGTCCAGCACGTCTGTTTTGGAAGCTAAGGCAGTGTTATGTCAGGGACCTCTGTACGCTATAGCAATTTCTGCAGATCGTTTCGGTGGGAGAACGAGAAAATCTTGCATTCAACTCCTTTTTCCCTTTTAATCATGATCACTGTATTATAACTGCAAGGTGCTCTGCAGAAAACAAGCTATGTTATAATAATGGAATTAGTGTTTGTTTACTAATGACCAAAGCATTTATTGTTCTTTATTATTCTTTGCGGCAGAGGCCAAAAGGCCGTTAGAGGCCGGGCTCTGCTGTGCCAAGGCTGCACAGGCGTATCTGCAGAGACAGCCCCTGATCCAGAACGTTCACCATCTTACATAAGGCTTAAGTGAGTCAGTGTAACAAAGCACGAGGAGAAGAGAGGCAAGATGAGGCAAATGCTAATAAGATCAATTGTTTATATAGGCCACTGATGTATGCAATCTGATGATTCAGAGTCACTTAAAGCAGAAATGTACCCCAGCAGGCCCCGCTAGGGATCACGCCTATCTGGGCAGCTTTCCATTTGCTAAAGAATATCGATTGCTAACTGGAACTCTTCTTTCTGCTACGGTGCCTCTGAAGGCCTCAGAGGCTAAATCCTTTCTCTGCTAATCCCAGTCCAACCTATATCTTCACTTGATATCTTTGGCACAATCTTTGTTCCTTGCTGTTGCTGGGTTCCGTGTATTTGGCCTTTTTTGCTCTCTGTAATTAACACCCATGACAGACACCTACCGGTTTGTTGCAAAGTTGAGCACAGAATTATGCGAATGAAAAGTATCTCCAGAGTTATCGTGAAAGTGGACTGTAAATGTCAGTGTCACACCCAGGGGGAGAGCCAGTAACGCCTCTTTGTTTTGCGTGTGCAGAATAGGACTCATGGAGATTCTTAGGTATGAGATGGGGTAGACCTGTAAAAGCATAAGCGTTGAAAAGCAAAATGAAATCGGTTTTTTTGGCACCTCCATAAAAATAGTAATCTAAAAGGGTTCTTATTATGCAAATATACAGATCTTCCTTTAGGAACCACTTGCTGTACGTTTAGCGCTATGACAGTACTGAGATACTGTGCTTTTATTATCGATACCTATATTTCACAGAGTAGCTGAGGTTGAAAGGGGCCTCTGGAGATTGCCTAGTCCAGATCCCCCTGCTCAGGCTGGGCTAAAGCCAGTTGCCCAGGACCACATGCAGTCAGGTCTCGAGCATCTCCTAGGATGGAGACTCCACAATCTCTCTGGGCAATCTGTGCCAGTGTTCAACAGCCACCACAGTAAAAAAGTGCTTTCCTATATTCAGACAGAATTTCACGTGTTCCAATTCATGTGCGCTCCCTCTTGCCCTGTCACTGAGAAGAGTCCAGCTCTGGCTTTTTTACATACTCCCATCAGATATTTCTTAGTGTTTTTTCTCTAATAGCACTGGGAATTGAAGCAAGCAATGATGATGTAGAAATCACAGACTTCAGAGACTGCATTATTATCCTATAAATTAAGACTCCCTGGATATTGAAAAGAACAAGTTGCCCCTAGACTTCTCTCCCACTAATTCTTGAAATAAAAAGCATAGTTCATTCCCCAGTTACTAGAACGGGAGTAACTTGCAATGTATGTGAGAGTAAGGGGATGGAATGGTCACTGTTTCCCCAGTTCACTTGCACCAGGTGAGAAAGTCAGGATGATGCGGGCAGTTTCTGGTTGAGCAAAGGTTTGCCCAGCGGAGGAAACGTGAGCAATAGCTGCAAAGCTGTTCCCTACTGATCCTTGTCAAATAATATCACAGACACTACAAACTGCCGCCCCACAAACAGGCCCGTGGTGGTCTGACAACAGGGCTCCCAGAGCGGGGAAGGAGCAACACCCACAATCTTTTCTCTTGAGCTGTGTAGTGGTGCGCTGGGGTGGTGGCTTTGACCCATCACTTGGTACTGCCGGTTGTATGATGCTGCAGCCAGGCCGTCCTCCGCAGTGTGGGCTGATAGAAGCGAAGTGCAACAGCCAAAAGCGGTCAGAACTGGCATCTGGGAGTCCTGGTGGACAAGTTTTCCATGAGCCAGCAATGTGCCCTTGCGGCCAAGAAGGCCAATGGCATCCTGGGGTGCCTTAAAAAGAGTGTGGCCAGCAGGCCGAGGGAGGTCATCCTCCCCCTCTGCTCTGCCCTGGGGAGGCCACATCAGGAGCAGTGTGTCCAGTCCTGGGCTCCCCAGGTCAAGAAGGACAGGGAACTGCTGGAGAGAGTCCAGCAAAGGGCTACAAAGATGCTCAAGGGACTGGAGCACCTCTGTTTTGAGGAAAGGCTGCGAGCCCTGGGGCTGTTCAGCCTGGAGAAGAGAAGGCTGAGAGGGGGTCTCCTCAATGCTTATCAATATCTAAAGGGCGGGTGTCAAGAGGATGGGGCCAGACTCTTTCCACTGTGCCCAGCGACAGGACAAGGGGCAATGGGCACACAGGAAATTCCGTCTGAACATGAGGAAAAATTTCTTTACCCTTAGGGGGCCGGAGCAGTGGCACAGGCTGCACAGGCTGCCCAGAGAGGCTGTGGAGTCTCCTTCTCTGGAGATCTTCAAAACCTGCCGGAACGTGATCCTGTGCAACCTGCTCCGGGTGCCCCTGCTCTGGCAGGGGGGTGGACTGGATGATCTCCAGAGGTCCCTTCCAACCCCTACCAGTCTGTGATTCTGTGATCTGACAAACCCTTACTGGTCAACAGGCTGTGTTTTGTTGCCTCAATGCCTCTCCTCAACCAAGAGAGAAGTTAGGAACTGCTCCAGATTCTTTAGATAAGTCTGCCACATTATCCATATGAGCACACCCCCACATTTTTGCAGTAACGCTCCAATGAAGGAAGTTTGTCTGAATACAAAGACTTCACAACCATTTGTTTTGTTTTGTTTCTTAAATAACATATTACTATTCTTGACTAACTTATCTAGGTTAACTAGCAAAATTACCCAACAAAACCAACTATATCTGTTCTTTCTGTTACAGCAGTTGGAAAATAAATAATGGAAAGACAGAGAAAGCAAAAACCCTCAAATATATAGAGAAAACTATTTTAAAAGAAGCCCTCAAGCTTATCTTGTAGGAAAATCCCTTTTTTTCTGGCCTAAGAGACACAGCTAAAACGTAAAACTCTGCAATCCGAAAATGTACATGTCAAAACTTAAAACGGAAAGGACAAATTTGGCCTCAAGCAAATAGCATCTTTGGTGAATCTGAAAAAAAAAAAAAAGTGGCTAGAATATCAGTAGATACAACTGTCTACTCCACAGGCTGATACAATCAGTTAAAATACCAGTGCATATAGTCATCTGCCCAACTAGCTGAGGTTACAAGCTAACAAAAATGCCATTTCCCTGACAGATTTTCAAGCTTGCTTTACTTTAAAATCTCAAAAACTGTCCCACAAGGGACAACTGCTAAATTTAATATTGATGAAAACAGCTATTTACTGTTAAAACATCTTGGTTTTTAAAGTATCTTTTATTTAAAAAAAAATACTGAGTTGAGTGCAGCTGGTACAGGCAAGTGCTTAGCTCGCTTCCATGCTAAGCACACTGTCGCTCCTTACTTCCACCGTCCTCCTTATATAAGATTGTCTTTTTTTGAGCAAAGTTGAAGGTCTAAGTGTTAAGTGATGCTGCTGCAGCAGAATTTCGGTTCTTAATTGTGTACAGTTGTAAATAGACAAAACGAGAGCTTATGAAAGGAAGGACAGTGTGAAGGAGAGAACTCTGCCTTAGAATGACACAACAGATTCAAGCTCATCTCCTGCTCTGTCACCGGTTTTTCTACATGACCTTCAGCAAAAACCACTCAAACTCTCTCTCAGTTCTTCATCCATAAAATGAAGGCAACAGCACTGTATTACCTCACGAGGCGACTGTGAGGTTAAAAATATTATTTCTACGAAAGTAGTATAGTCCTAATAAGTACAGGAAAACAAATCTGCTGTACAAGATGCTGAACTGCGATGGTTCCTACTACAGAGTGCTGTCATAGTGCACTGACTCCACAGTTCTGCGATCTCCTAACTGTATGGAGAGAATGCACAAAGGGGGAATTAAACTTCAGCACCACTATATGCTGACTAAATGTCATTTGAGCCAACCCCACACTCATTAAACGTCTTTCACTTGCCGGATCCAGCAGTGAAGGGAAGAAACAAGGTCATCTATAACAGAGCTATAGAAATTCACTGCAATCACCTAGCAGCAGGAGTGGCATTAGTGAAACTAAGCCACCGTTTCTTTTTTCATTCTCCACCCAGGAGGACAGACCTACAGACAAAGTTGAACATTGTGACACAAAATAAAATTAAAAACCCCGTAAAGCCACTTCACAGTGATTTTAATAATCAAACTCACAAATAATTTAAAGTCAGCACTCAATTATATGTCTTTCTCCTTTAGTTGGGACATAAGAAAGATGTTGATGGAGTAAAAAGGGATAAGAGAAAGCAGAGCAGTGGGTATCTCAAGGCTCATGTTGCCAGACATAGGAAGTTGTTGCCACAAGGACTTTTGAACTGAAATGAAGGATATAGGTTCCCTTATGTCCTAAGTGCTCAACCAGTATGATATATTAGACTTCACATAATAGCATTCCATCAACAGATGAAGTTTTGAGGAAGAAAGAGGTTTCATTAGCCTGGAAAAAACCAAAACTGCTGAGTTTTGCTACAGATTTGTCCTTCCCTGAAGCATCCACATTTCAGTGTAGCTTAGGCACGCAGGGCAGCCTTGGACATACTCCTTGACAGCTCACCCAATACAGGCAACAGCAGTGAAATTATTGCATCTGATAAGACAGGCTTTCTCACGCAGAGATTCTCATTATGTGTAAAAGCTGAACTGCTGGGAAACAGCAGAGAAAATGAAACTTTTGGGCACTGTACAGTTACATCTCCACTATCTTGAAAATCTAGGTAGCGCTTAGGTACCTCACAACGGATGCTGCATTTATATTCATTACTCCATTTACCTTTTTCACACGCTGCAAAATGCATGTTATGACATTAACATCTTTTGTTATTTGAACTTCTGTAATTCTAAGATTTTTAGGACAAACTTTTTTTTTAAAGGCACATGCACACAAAGGCCTTTTTGTAAAATGTACCAAATTTCAGACTTTGCTGGGATTTAATGTTTATCCATCTAGTTTAGTATAGTAAACTTTTTTTCAAAGCTCAGAACTGATCATTAATTCCTATACTTCAATATTTTTCAGAAGGCAGGTTCAAAATGTGCAGCTAACTGTCCCTGTTGCAGGAGTAAAGATATACTTAGAAAACTGCAAGGAAAGAGAGACAATACTACCTTAACAGCAGCTACAATAGTCTGGTTGATCCCAAAGGATTCTTGTGAAATCACTTCAATTGTTGATGATCCTATCAAAGACCCAGAGGTAAGGAAACCTCTCTCATCGATTTTTACAACAGGAACTTTATCCGGTCCATCCAGGACACGGTAACTCAGTGAAGCCACTCGGTCCCTTAAGGAAAGAAACAAAACAAAACAGAAAAACCAAAAATCAGGGGATCCCCTTAAATGAGTAAACCCATATTTACACCAATATATTATACAAATCTGAAAGACTGCTGTTTGGTATGCAGGGTTTTTTTTCCACGTGCCTGCAATAAAAGCTGAAAAGCCTGTGTTCTAGTCTAAGAAAGAAAAGTTAAATTCTGATTCAAGCTCACTTGGAAGAAGTCTTCTCTGGGTTTAGGCATGTACTGAAATCTAGTTTCCACCCTCCACCCTGCAGTGTCATCATTCACTGATGTAAACTTGATTCCAAATAATAATGGCTAAGGCTACGACACACAGCTTCTGCCGTCACTTTCTGTAAACAATATTTAGAGGGAGATTAGTCCGCCAGGGCCAATGCTGGTATTAGAGATAAAGTCAGGGACGTGATTAAGTGGATCTCATCAGTTTCCTGGAAATGGTTTTGTAGACAAAGTTAATTTTTGGAATAACTCTCACCGTGGTATTTACATATTAATGAAGTGAGCAACTACATAAGCTGTAATTAGTGGGCATTCTGAGACATTAGCTACTTTTAAGTATCACTTATCACATCTTCCAAAAGATCTGTAAATGATTTTTTTTTTTTCTCCCAAGCTCCTCCACTGAGAGAAATACTCTACTTTATCCTAGGAAAAAAGCATTAAGGCTGGATTTTTGTTGCCCTTTTCTCAGCAACGGTGTAATGGGTTTTGGTGGTAGAGTTCAGACATAGGGGCTCCAACACTGGATAGTGAAGATAATGGGATAAAGAAACATACAGACTGATATCTAGCAGCTTAATGACTAATTAATCAGAAAAATTGCTCAGAAGGGATAGCAAAACAACATTAGTAAGTGACTACAAATGACATGGCTCCTATATAACTGTTCCAAAAGCAGGTGCTGAATGACCATGGTCAGTGGAGCCCCAGTGAAACTAATGGTTCCCTTCTCTTAAAAAGTAAATCCATCTAAAGCCTCGCCCTCAGCATATGTCCTGTTCTCTACATCTGCACATGCTTGTGCTAGGAAAACCAAATTTCAAGCCTGAGATGAGTCTGAGATGTCAGTTTGAAAACAGATTATATAAAAAGGACTCCTCATTTGAAAAGGACATTTTAATCTCAAAACCTAGTCATAGCCTCTGTCTAAGAGAGAGATACAGAGAAGTATATACCATAAAGCCTTGATCACCCATAAAAAATTCTCTTGGAAGCAGGCTACTGCGTTAACTGGCTCAGCATCTTTTAAAGTAAGGATCCAAAAGTTCAAGTATTGAATGAATTTTCTAGCTGCAATCTAACTAATACAAGATTTGACAGAGCCCAAGAGTACAGATAAGATACTATTAATCACCAGATACGTTGTATATTATACGGATGCACTGTGATATAGTCTTTTTAAAAGACTGGAAAAGCTTACTTCAAATAGAACTGCTTTACGGTTTCGATAAACTGTTGACACAAATCACAGTATGAAAACGGATCGCTAACCTGTTTGTCTGAAGTTTAATAAAGGAATTTGGTGACATTAAGATCTGCTCTGCTTCTACTTCTGGGGTGATGAGATGAAGTTTGTCAAACACCTGGAAAATAAAAGGCATTTTAGCCTACTGTTGTGTGCAGTGAGGAATTTCATTTATTTCACCGTCAAAATAAAACTCTCAAATGAAAGTATAACACACTATTTTTTACCTTGTATAATAAATGTGGTTAAAAAAATGAAAGTTAAACATGACTATTTGAGAATGGGATAGGCAGTATCTTCTAGAAATGATTCTGAAGAGCATCCATTTCTATGGCTAGAGCTATACTATGAAGTAGTATAAAAAAAGAAGCAGATTTTTCAAGTGAAATGGTGTTGGAGATCCCCACATTGACCCAAGTCTGAGCCCATGAAGCGAATGCCCACGCGAGGAGCACTCCTCAAGCACATTTCCAGCTTTGTTCCATCTAAAGGAATTCAGTTTGCATACTTTGAAACTGCTCCCCAAAGCATGGTAAGTGGGAACAACCAGCAGATTAATTTCAGAAGCTAATTCCTGATCCAAATTAACATGCTTGCATAGACACGTATGATAAGCGCTATAAACAAGAAGTATTATTGCGCAGAGAACTACAGCAGCAAAGTCCTTTTACAGCTCTAACACCGCTTATCCACAAGGCACAAGTCACCTCAATTTCAGGTGGTCTACAAAAACCTCTAACTCCTCAATTTCATGCAGGCATCACAACGGTGTGTGACTGTTCAGCATAAACCTTAACAACACTTGGGGAACTTGGAGGTTTCTGAAGAGCAGAACATTATACAAACAGGAGTAAGGGCTTAAAGATAAACCAAAGCTGGAACTGCTCCTTTGCATTTCAAATTCCTGACCTCAAATACAGACTCTGAAATTCAGCTCTGAAATCGATATTAAAACATTAACTGTGAGGAACTTCATCATACCTGAATTTGGATTTCATCTGACAGTTCTCTTGCCATGTTGTAAAACTGGTTGGCTGCAGGATCAAGGACCTTCACAACAACTTTCAGGCCCGTTCTTCCCTTTACTCTGCCATAAACATCCATTGCAAAGTTATATTTTGCAGGAAGCTGAAAAGAAGCCTTGGACAGAAGAAAGTAATTAAAATTTTACTCATGGAAAGAATTGACATTGATACAGTGGAAAGACCACACCTAATGCTGACAATCGCTCTTTGATGTTGAGTAAGAGGAAGAAACAGTATTTTCTCAATTCCCATTACGTGGCAGTTTCCCTTTCCCAAGATACACACAGATGCAGGTACACACACACGCAATTTACCTCACTGTGTCTTGTCTTGATATCCAGAGTATCCCTCTTTGTGACAGACCAGTGGAATGTTAACCCTGGTACTGCGTTGCCAAATGAAAAAGGAGTCTGACCGCTGGTGACGCCCATTACATAAACTGGCATCTAGAAACAGAGAAACCAACTTTCTTAGGTAATTCTAGGATGCAAACCAAATCTCCGCAGAGCAAATATCATTAAACTTCAAATTTGTTGATCAAGAGATGATATTCCTTATGAAGAAAACAGCTTGGCTGCTGTATATGTTGCAAGGATGTTTCACACAGAAGACTCAGCATCAACTTGTAAAATGTAAATTTTGATTTATTCTCATTTGCTACATGCTCTACAAAAAACAAGTACCAGTTTTCCATCAGAAAAGATGAGTTGAATAATTCCTTTGTCCCATTTGTAGCATCAAATCATTTCATCTTACTTAAGTCATACACTCTTAAGTTTTCCACATCTTTGTCTAGATGACCTCCCTGGTTAACTCTGCTCTGGACATCAACCTTCCCCTTCCAACTCTCCAAATTAAGATTACGTAACACAAACATGAAACAGTGATTTTCAAGTTTTTATTTCTAATCTTCAAAGCAATTCATTCACCCAGGACCAATGAGCTAGAATCACAAGCCATTTTGGAATGAGTAAGTAATAGGAGAAATATAGACTCTTAAAAAATAGACTTATTAAAAGATAATGTGAACAGTATCTGTTATATAGCAGACATACTGTAGATTTTTAACATACAGAGGAATAAAGTCCCCACTGCAAACAGAATGAAGATGAGAGTACCCTTCTCCATATTAAATGATGCTTGAATTTCTGAAACTCAGCCTGGTGTACAAGGTAAACTTGTCCTGATTTCTCTTTTGGTATGTTCAGCTCTGGAGCTTCTCCACTGACGGCACATTCATTCCTGCAGCAGCAGTGGTACCCCTCAGAGCAGACAACCACTCCGAGAGCTGCAGTGCTATTTTCAGATAACCTAACAGAAGGGTCACAGCTTGCAGGCAAAATTTAAAGGCAATAAAAACTTATCACAAATCAACTAACCTGTGTACCGGTTTTCATTCGTGTAATTGGTGCACGAATTCTAACAGCCGTCAGCTGTACTACTTCAACTTCCACTTTGTCCTAAAAAAAGAGGAAGGGAAGACATTGTAAGCACTTGTCAAATGTGAACTAGATTTCCCTTTCAGGATCTATTCACTATTTTGCCATTATTTAATCACTATTGCTGTGTGATTTGTCATGGGACATAATTCAGTAGGACTGTAAAAAACTACAAAAGCATTACCCTTGTAAATCGATAGGCATTTAAAAATGACATCTGAATTAAAAAAAAAAAAAACCAAAAAACAAACCCAAACCCCAAAACCTCTGCTCAGAATTACTGATGACACGAATGAGGGAGCTGAAGTAACAGCCTAGATCATAGGGGTCCCTAGGAGAAGAGGGATGAATAATCTCAGAAGGTAAAGGAAGACATTAAGAGAATTAGAAGAAAGAGAGAACGGTAGCAGCAAACAGGACAACCAAGAATAAAAGGAGAATCTATACAATACTCTGATGTTTCCACTTCACATATCCTGACATTCCTGATAGACGTTACTCCTACTGTATATGGGGGAGGAAAGGTCAGACCTGGACCTCACTGAGCAGCAGATTTAGCTTTCAAGTTCTTTTTGCTTCCTGCCACAGCATCAGGCCAGACTGCTGCCCCCGCATTAAAAAGCACAATTTTTTTTTATTATTATGTTTTTCTTGAATTCTTTTGTCTCCTCTTGGCCTGTGGTGACACCTTTCAAGCAGCAGAGCTTTGCGGTGTGCAGCAGCTGTCCTGCCTTGATCTCAAATGAAGAGCCACAAGATTTGGCCCCAGTTCTATTGCTAGTCTCATGCAAGTCCCAGGGACTTGTGCTCCCTTCCAGGCCTGCTCATCAGCTCCCTGACGCTCAGCTAGGTAAGGAATCATACAGACAGAGATTCTGATGGAATATCACGAACTTGCTGCTTGAACTTTGTAAATGGATTCAGACCACAGCACGGAAAAATAGCTTTCTATACAGCCTGCCTAGAGCCTAAGGGACAATGCACTCCTGAGGCAATAGATACCTTCTGACTTCTACTTACACAAACCCCTGCTACACTGTAAGATGACGCAGGCAAGGACAACCTTCTGCTGGTTTAGAAAGGCTTCTTTAGATAGGCTTTTCTAGATTTACTAATCAATTCTAAAGATACAAGACTGCTCGTTAAGTCTCCCTAGGTTATCAGTAGAACTTTGTTTTACGGTACAGCAAGATTTAACTGTCTGTTGAAGTTCAGAGGCCAAGGAGGAAGAAACACTGATTTTTCATCTCCTTCAGGAAACCAGGAATCAAGTGCACAATAACATTACTAACGTAAAAAGACTATTCGCCTGTCTCGAGCCAAATCCGTGAGTTAAACAGAGCCCCTTTCAACCCCAAATGGTGTCATAAAATGTTACCTGAGACACCACGACAAGCTTCCCTGTCTCTGCATCAACAGCCTGCACCAGTCCTGTTACCGTTCCGTTCCCGATCGCCATTCCTCTCACAAGGCCCGTGCTGTTCACTGATGCAATCTTCTCATCGCTGATGGAGAAAATGATGTTGGATTGAGGTTGAGGGCCTCCTTCTGAAGTGATCTATATTTAATAGCACACAGAACAACTAAAATTAACCCATCGGATATTTGTTACAGGGTGCACCTCTTCTGTGCTCAGCATCACAATGTCTTCAGGAAAAAAAAGGCTGTCTGAACCATCTCAGGGCTTACTTCTCCTGCACGCTGGTCCTTGCATGAAGTTGGATGGCGAAACACGTGAGCTAAGTGGAAAAGTGCTTCGTAGAATCTAATAGGCTGATGCTACATCCATCCCAGAAAGTTTCAGAAGAATTTACCTCATTTTCTCTTCACCACACATGGTATAACTCTGCTCTGAGTTTCAGTTTGTAGAACAAGCCCACTATGCTTAATTTCATGGAGGTGACAGATTATTAATGCTGTGCTGGTATTTAACGCTGGAAAAGCTGGCACTCCCTTGACACAAATAAATACAAAAGCTTTGATCCAGCAATACAGTGATATGGAAAGTGGCTCAAGAATGAAACTATTCCTGTTAGGAGGAGCGTTCAGTGTGAAGGTAGCTAAATTGTGAAGTTGAGTATCTACTCCTGAAAAATAAGTTATAAAATTTATTTTAAAATAGAAATTACAAAAGAAAGAAAACATGTAAGAAGATGCCTTACCTGAATCATGGCCCCAATAATAAGTGTCACTTTCCTCGGCAGCAGTCTAAATGGGGGAAAGACCTAAAAATAGAATATGAATACTTGCGTTCATGCTATTTCAATCAGATAAATTATGTCACAAAAGAGTACATACAAGTGTAAAACTGGGTCTTCACTTGCTTAATTACAGTAAACTGAGCATGCAGAAACTTAACTGATTACTTGCAGTTAAAAAACACTATGACATCTGTAACAGACTAGCATTTGGATAACTTCTAGATAGAACGATTGGTTTATTTTTTATGGCAAATTAATTACCATGCTATAAATTAACTGCAATACACAGTTCCTATTCTATCATAACATACATTTTGTTTACACATGTATTTTTATCTGAAATGATTTACTTCAATCTGTTGGGGAGCAGAGTTGATTCTTTGTCCTCTTTTGTCAGCAACAGTTGCCATAAGACTAGTCTGACCGATGGCCACCCCATGCACTAGAAAAGCAGCAGTATGGTCATCGAGAGCTTCACTGAGTGGGCTGTAGCAAAGAAACACATTAAAATAGAGAAGTTCACTGAATCACATGAATAACAAATGCAAAGGACTTTAGTGCCCAGCAGTTTTATCATAAGGATGACCAAGAGACTATGCCTTAAGCAAAGTTAAAGTAACCATCACATTTCTACATGTAACACCATGAAATGCCTCTTTGTAGCCTGTGTTTTATCGTAAAATGAAATACGGGAAGTGAAAATGAAACAAGTGCTAGTTGGTACAGACCAGAACTCTGCCAGGGAGCTCACTAACAATTCGACCAGTATGGACAACAGCAGCACAAGCCTTGACGCTATTAAATGGAGTGGGATAGACACAGCCAAGCAGTACTGCACGGTGCATGCACACCTCCACGTACAAAGCAGAATGATTTTGACTCATTACCTCAACACTAAAAATCAACAATCCAACCCCCTTTTTTTCCTGTGATTTTAATCATTGCGCTCAGAGCTTGGAAAGTAAGGAGCTTCGAGGCAATAGGGTGATTTAGCCTACCTGTTTCTAAAAGGTTAAGTAACAGACAGAATGAGTTTGATAACATCAGATGTGTCTTCCCAGAGTTCTTCACCTGACATTATTTGCCAAGTCACTGCTTCCAAGATGCATAAGGGTCCATGAAATATTACAGTGCATAAATACAGTCTCATTCATCAGCCAACAAGATTTAGACTGTTAGCTTAGGCAATTTTCCTGACAAATTACCATTTAACAGGTAATTAAAACTTTACAAAAATAAAATAAATACAAAGAAATAAAAACTTTGTCATTGCATACTACCATGCCTCCAAGCCAATATCTTTACTCATTTTTTTTGCTTATTCTGCCTATAAACATATTTGCAGAGTAATTAAAAAAAAATCCATTAACTTACACAAGTGAAACAATCTGAGACGCTGCCCTTAGTTTTAGATCCATGACAGCAAAGTATTTCGCCAGAAAAGGTTTCTTAGAGTCATCCAGAACTCTGACATAAGCTTTAACTGTTTTTCCAATCTCCACCTGTAACACAGTCACATCCAGTCATTTTTCATTTCAACTATTCTTATTTATTAGCATAAACATTTTCATTTTATTTTGTACGACACTTTTAGTAGGGTATTAGAGATAAAGCCCCAAGGTTAGATTAGCACTGATTTTAAAGAATAATCCCTGCCAGCTATGGTTAGCGTCAAATTAAATAAATGAATTCAGGTCTTTCAGCTGGCAAGGGAATAATTAAAACATCCAGAAATATCAACACTTATTTTGTATAAGACGCACCCAAGCTGGCACGTAAAATGAGTTGGACCTTTTTTGTTAATTTTTAAAACGTGACAGATG